TATCCTGGTGCATGCTATCTTTTCCATATCTAAATACATGAAACTTCCTTTAAAGTTTATTCATATTATCTAAATATATTATTTTTACATAATACCATTTTTACTGTTTTTCTATATCAGGATAAAGGAAATAATTTTTACATGCTATTATATTCTTTTCATTCATCTTTTCGTTACTTCAATTAACTTACCAAATTCAGAACTAATTAGATTTATGCTAAGATCTTCAGATTGAAGAGCTCTCTTCACATCAATCTTTTTAGCCCAATTTCCAGCTTTTAGCAAAACAGAATCCCTGAAAAATAGTAATGTATAATTTTAATAGTGATCCAAACCACTAAATGAAATAACATATTAATCTTCAAGGGCTGATTATTCCTAAGATAGGTCCTCTCTAGAAGTAAAGTGAAATCAATTACTGAAAACTATTTTCCGCAAGATCTAAGGAGAGCAAATAAAGTGACAATGGAGCTATCTTGACCATAATTTTCTTAACTACAGGTGATTCCAAGTTGCAGTGACTCATTTCAGGCTCACCTGCAATGTGTAGTTGCTATCATTAACACATGAATTTGCCCCTAAATCACTACCACTTTAAACTGGCTACACGTAAGTAACATGTATTTGTGAGAACAACTACAACAGTATCTTTCAAATTAATATGAAATCGTTTGTGTCTAATAACATTACAAACAAACCAGCAACAGATTTTGATTGAACTTATTTTAGTCTCATATAGTCAGGGCTATCACTAGATTTGGCAATCACAGAGTACAAAGATTTGTACCATAGCATATTCTCTAGAAGTATGCCATGGTTAGTTGCAGGAGGGCAGTTACCAGTGAAAAGGATATCCTATGAGTCACGCAGTCCCTTTAGGAACCTTGCATATGATTTTTTGGGAAAGTATCTTCCAGTATACTGGCAGCAATTAGGAGAGTCCTGTTTCAGAGTCACTGCCATTCCTGAACTTACTTGAACAGTAACATAGTTAGGAGCATAGGCTCTGGAGTCAGAATATTTGGATTCAAATCTAGACTTTGCTATTAACTAGGTATATGACCATGATTAAGCATAAATCAAACTGACTAAACACTTTGTCTCAATTTCCTCCTCTACGAAATGTGCATGATGATAGCACCTATCTCATACAACTATTAAAACAATTAAATACTTGGAACCTACCAAGTGATCAAAAATATTAGCTATATCTATAATTGACATCTTTAGAGTATGCTTATGACATCCTGGGAAAAAATAATAGTATTTGGAAAAATGCTGAAGTAAAAATTATAAAATGGCATACTAGACAACTAGGTATAAATGAGGGTACTTCATATATATATTTGATCTGGTTGCCTGGATCCTACAACGGAGCTATAGTAGTTTATTAGATTTTAGTTTGGAGATACAAGATATATTTTGAGGTGAGTAGGAGAAAGACTGAATCCAAACAGTAGTAAAACCATGGAATGACTAGAGAAAAACAGTGAAATAATGAAGACCTCTTAAAGGTCATCTATTCACTTGTTTCAGACTATGGTGATAGATTTTATACTTTGTTCATTTGAGTATTAAATATAACAGTTTGAAACAACAGATGCAAAGTTAATACCTTCTTTAATAGACAAATAGAAAAACTACCCCATT